GTCTTGGCGACGTTTCGACGAAGTCCCATTCGTCATCTTCAGGCTGGTGTTTTCGGCTTCGTGCTTCTAGGAGCAAAGCACGAAGCTGAAAACATCATCCTGAAGATGACGAATGGGACTTCGTCGAAACGTCGCCAAGACACTTCCAATTTTACGCGGGAGAAAACCCGAATAACCAAAGACATATATATATATATATATATATATATATATATATATATATATATATATATATATGGTACCCTGTTCTCTGGAGTTTTTTTTTTAAAAAAAGCATCACCTGCTCTTTTAAATTTAAGAATTTAAGACTGAAGTATTTGTGTCTCTCCTAGGAAATTCATGTGAAAAAGAGCTACCTTGCATGCTAAATTCAAAATAGCCCAGTTCAGCACCTTTCCTGATTACTTATTTTTAACTTCGGGTAGTTTTTAATAATTCAATGTTCTCCTTGAATGCTCAAAAGTTTTAAAGAGGTCTATGGTAGATTTTTTAACTTAGGCTCTTCTACCTGTGTTTAAAAATTTACACTGAAAACAGGCAAACTAACTAGGTGTGACGCCAGAGCTTTGCTGAATAATTCTGGAACATAAAAATGTTTTTCTTCTCCCATGAAGAAAATATTTTAATAGTAAACTTAAGGTGCTCCTACAGAGGAAGAATATATCCCTTTTTAGTCACTAGAGAAAACTTTGTGACTTTGATTCTCTCTGTGTATGTAGGTTCTCTCTCTCACACACACAAACACACACACATGCATATCTTTTTAGAGGCATCTTCAGTGCGATTTCATCCTAATAATTACAATCAAAGGCAACTTGGGGGCAGAGGAGGCAAAGAAGACGGGGTAAATACAGCAAATCTGCATTCATTCTCCAATCAGAGGTTCACTTAGTGGAATCGACTGTATCTTTTGTACACAACGAATAGAAAAAAAAAAACCAACAGGGACGTGCAACAGTGAGGTGTGCAAATGTATTACCAACACGGAATGACTACCAACATTACAACACAGAGAGAGAAAGTGAGACAAGTATTAGGAAAATGGTTTAATATTGGAGACAGAAGCAAAAAACTGCATCACACAATAACATACATTACAAAAATAAGTTTGACTGTTTCAACTACACAGTTATGTTCACAATGAAGACAGAAGAACCAGGAAAACCTTTTGATCTAAACAGCGAAAAAGCAAACCCTACTTTTTTTAAAAAAACAAAACAAAACCCTAATACATATATCCACTTAAAGTGACTGTGTACTCCTAAATTCTAATTTGTTATATTATGAAACTGCACAATACAGAATAAAAAGTGAAACTTACCGAGTGTTTTAAAACACAAAATTCTAAACACTAAATATAAGCAAATGGAAAGGATAAAACCAAGCCAAAGTTTGTTTTAATTTTTTTAAACTAAGCCAACGTTCCTTCAATCCACTGGAAATCAAACTTGAAAAACAGTTATGATCAGGGGGCTCATAAGAGTAAGCCGCCATTCCCCCCCCCCATTTTTGTTTAAATCTCCAGTATAAAAAGTTCCACTGGTACAAAATGCGTGCATACAATCAAATTTTATAAGCCTGTGGTTGGTTAGTTGGTTGGTTTGTTTTATTTTCCTAATTTCGTTTTCCATTTTGCTTTTGGCTCAAATTCCATCAAACAGCAAAACCCAAATGCATCAACAAAACAGAAACAATACTCAAAAGTGGTCTTACAGTTTCTCACTACATTGCAATAACTTTGGCTTTTCTTAGACAAAATAAAAATAGAAAGACACAAAAACCTAGGAGATTATAATCCATTTGTACCACAGGCTCAGCTCCCATACACTGAGAATTCACAGAGGGTTGAAGAAAAAAATCTGCTTTTACCTTCTGCATATGAATGTCAAGACGCGGAAGGGCCTGGTTGTCATAGAACGTCCCTCCTCTCTTAATTGTTAGGGGGTCAAAAATAATTTCCATGAGCAACAGTTGCCGAGCCCAAAGAATTCCCTGAGCACGAATGCCACTTCTGTGGTAGGAATGGATCATTTCCTGAGTTTTTGATGCTCTCAACTTAAAAAAGTTGTCATTAGTTGACAAACAACAATTTCTCACAGCACAACGTCCTCCCCCCCTCCCCAAAATCTGGTACACAGGATATGACATTATTCAGAAAAACAACGAAACTACTTAATTATATTTTTTTTTTGTTAATTAGCACTTAAGTTAATAGAAACAGAAACAGCAAAATGATCCAAAGAGTAGCACAAGCTGAGAAATAACCCCTATGGTGAAAGAAAGATGAACTTGTTACACCTTTGAAAATGGCCATTTCGCATAACTCATTTGGTTGGGAAACTACTGTTTTGTGCTTTTGGAGTTAAATTTCGAAATGCAACCATTCCTGGTTTGTTGTTATTATTATTATTTTTTTCTTCCTCTACAAATAAAAGCCCTTTGCACTCTGAGTTTCCCTTCCATGTTTCATCTTTTATATATGAAGAACTTTTGTGTACAAGTGCAGTGCATTATTAAAGGCCTTGGTGTGAAGCTATATAATTTTGCTAGCTGGTTTCCCTTGCAATCTTTTATGCTGCAAACGCAGCAGCCGTGTATCTTAGTCAGGGGTAGAAATTGTTGAGAAAGTGACAGCTTTTTATTTCCTGTTTATGCCTGTTCTTTCTTTTCCTCCCAGTTCTTTGTCCCTAGTAAAATGGCCCAATATTGCAAATTAAACTTCTCTTTAAAAATCAAGAATTCCCTTGGGGCTGCAAGATGAACAATGCTTGGGAAAAAATGGGGCTGGTAAGGAGGGAGGGAGGGAGGGAGGGAGGGAGGGAGAGAGAGAGAGAGAGAGAGAGAGAGAGAGAGAGAGAGAGAGAGAGAGAGAGAGAGAGAGAGAGAGAGAGAGAGAGAGATATTCCCACTTGGATAGGTGCAAATTCATAAGCATATCAGAAGTTATGGAGTTTAGCACCAGCACATGGCAGGACAAAGCATTCATAATTGTGTTGGCCATCTAACTGCTGTTAATTACAGATGTGGCTGCCATTTCAACAGGTTTGGCATGGGGTTTTGAAACAAGCCCCCGTTGACGTGAAAAGGAATATCGGTTTTCTTACATGGGATCTGATTTTCTTTCAAACAGTATAATTATTTGGGAAGTTTTAGATGCTGAACAATAATGCCCTGGAAAAATGCTCTTGAGCAAGAAAAATGGTGTTAACAGGTACAAAGTTAGCCCTCAAGGGTTCAGCAAGGCCCCAGAAGAAGGAACATGAGGCAATCACCGAGCACTTATCGATAAGTGAGAATGTGTATGTGTTAGAATTCTTTTTCTAGCTTTATTCTCTCCCATTCTGCATTATTTGGATTCTAGTGCTTGCCATCTACGGCTTCCCTAAAAGTAAGCATACTTCTTCCTCCCCAGTGGTGGGATTCAAATATGTGAACAACCGGCTCTCTGTGTGGATGTTGCTTCCGGATGTCCATTCTGGACCTGGGCAACAAAAAAATTAGCTATCGGTTCTGCCGAACTGGTGCGAACCGGCTGAATCCCACCACTGTGAATCCTCCCCCTTTTATAAAGAATGTAAAAGCAAACTGGGTAGATTATCACTTGCCTTCTTAAAAATAATTTATGTGGGAAATTGGGGGAAAGAAGAAAAATGGAGGATGTTTTAAATGAGAGTAAAAAGGATTAGACAATAGGAAATGATTTTGGCACTTCTTTTATCAGCAGCATGAAAAGCTGCTGGAATAATCTTGGCTCGGAAAGAGGTTTTTATTTGCCACTACAGAATACCAAAATTTAGTTGATGAATAGGAGTGCTATTCTGTTCAATCTAACTTAAAAGAAACAAGGCAATGAAGTGTTATCATTCCTTAATTTCTTGGTTATTATTCTGCAAAATCTAAGGATTTGCAGAACTTTCTCTTTGATGTGAACAGATAGTTAAGTAGTACAGTACAGGCTTGCAGGATCGTGCCCACATATTGTTAACAACAGATAATAAGAGATACAAAATAGTTAAGCAACTACCTTGATGTTTGATCATTTTCTACTGATGGACCATGCAGGTTTCTGAGTTATGCAGAGCACTATGGCTATTAAGTGAACAGATCCCAGCAAGAACAATAAACATACCACCTCTGTAACTGCCTTATGGGATTAGACTGCTGTAGCAAAATTAATCCCCTGTAGCATTTCCAGGCCTTGTTTTTTTTACTGAGTAAAAAATGGAGAAGTTTTCTGGCCTCTTAAAGATGGTCATATTTACAATGGCAGAAACTTTCGTGAACTGCAGCGCCTTCAACTGTGGATGTATGGGTACTATTAGCTCAGCTCATGGGTTCATGCTGCTTGTGGAATGAATGAGCTGTGTCATCCAAAGGATGATGTCATAATAAATACCAGGTGTGTCCTTGGGCATGGTCACAAAAGTCAAGATGGCTGTGACAACTGAAGCTCTATCTATTTGTTTATGTGCACTGTTGCAGCCAGCGTTTTTATTCTTGTGACCATATTTCTGGACTTCTCTGGTAAATACAATAACCTCTGTATTGTAAGGATAAGACTTTGCTTTTGTTATCCACCTCAGAAGAAAGAAAACAACAATCGCACCCTAAATTGCCTCACTTATTTGAGATCCTCTTCTGCCAATATTGTGCAATATTCTGCCACTGGGTAACTACATAGATTATGAATGGCAGGTGTGAATTTCTGAATATTTATGGCCCCAGGCCAAGACATTCCAAGCAGCTAGATTTCCCAATGCAAAGCCTGGATCTGTCTCACCTTACAATACAGGTGCAGCAAATACAATGGGGTTTTTTTTTTTTGAATATGTACATTCTGAAATATAGCAAGCTCTGATTTAACAATGACCCCCGATGCATTTAAGAATGCCACTTATGTTCAGAACCAAGCATGACATGTCTCTGAAATGCTCAGAGCAAAGGACTACCCTGTCCTCACAACAGCGAAAGAGCATTTTTGGCCAGCTCCCTGTACTGAATTTTTTTTTTTTAAAAAAAAGGGGGGGAATGTGTGGCACGGGAAAGAGAGAGGTGGAGAAGAAAATCAGGAGTATGGGTTGATACCTGCAACTCGCTTCATGGGGGTTCTGTTTCTGTTTTAAAGTGTACATTAGAATATGTTGGGTTGAGACATCATCTCTGAAACTCTAGGTTTGTGACTTGTGCAGATGGCTGAGATGGGGCTAGATCAGTGATGGCGAACCTTTTAGAGACCGAATGCCCAAACTGCAACCCAAAACCCACTTATTTATTGCAAAGTGCCAGGGCCGCATCAGCATTGTGGTTCCCTCAGAGAGGCTGGGGTATGTGGCCCACTGGGTGGGCGTGGCCAGGGTGGTCACAGCAGACTGGGTGGGTGTGGCCAAGTAGGCGTGGCCACCTCAATACTCTAACATCTCTATTCAAGCTTGCTAGCCGGCCATTTTGCTTGCTTTGTGCTGGCGGCAGCCTAATGGACTGTTAGTGGCCGCGGTGCGTGTGCCCACAGAGAGGGCTCTGAGTGCCGCCTCTGGCACGTGTGCTATAGATTCGCCACCACTGGGCTAGATGATGACTAGCAATGCTAAAAGGCTAAAAACAGCAACAAGAGGCCATTTTGCTCTCTTCCTGAGTTATGTCTCACTAAGATTTCTTTTCAGGGTGTAGGGAAAGGAAAGCCTGGAAAAGAACAGCTGGGTTTTATGAGGGGAAGCAGCAAAGCTGCTGTGAAGAGAAGGCCTATGGAAGAGGAGGAAATGGTGACAAGGTCCTGTGATGCTCTGAGTGAAGGGACCTTGCGGAAAATTGTCAGACTGGGAAACAGGACAAGGTGGAGAGTCCTGCAAGCAGATAACCACCTGTTCCACAGCTCTTGGGGAGCTGCTGAAAAACAATCTTTGTATTCTTCTCTGGAACAGGAGCCCAGCTGATAGTCAGCTTCCCAAGACCTGCAGCAGCCCCATAATGTCACGGTTAGCAGGGCCAATCTCACATCAGAGGAGACCCTACATATAAACCACCATACAGCAATGGCTTCTCGGAGCATCAATAGCTTGCATCCTGTGCTCACAAAAAAAGATTTTGGGCTATTGTAATTTGTTCTCAGGTTGAGGGACTACAGAGCCATTTTTTTGCTTCTGCCTTTTTGAGGATTTGCTACAAATCAGAAGCCTGCATGTTCATCAGCTGGCAGGAATGAATCCTGCTAACAAAAGGTATCGCTATGTCTACTTTGTATCTATTGCATCTGGACCAACACAGTACAAATATGGCAGCTAGCACATCAGAGCATTTAGACGTGTGTAAACCTCATCCATAAAAAGTAGTTTAACTGCAGTGCACAAGAAAATTTCATCCAGGAAGTTCTAGTGCGCTGGATTTAAGCAAAAATTCATTTAATTTGATTACAAAAATAATTTTTTTAATGATTTCAAATTGTGGGTTCAATTCTCCTATCTAGGAGTGGTTTACATAATACATAATTAAAGAATTATTTTTCTTTTTTAAATACAGAATATCATATACCAGCAGCATATTAAAAGCTCTCTTTAAGAAAAGATTTAAAACAAAAACAAAAACAAAGGAGCTTTACAATTTCTATGTTAAATATTTTTTTTTAGTTATAGATACAGAAGAACTTTAGACAGCAGTAAAATATTTATTTTCGTCCTTCAGATCCGCCCTGTGCATTTTTCTGATTTCAACCATGTATTAAATAAAGCACAAAAAAATTAGGTGTGGATGTGTATATGTGTATGTGCGTGCGTGTGTGTGCATATTTGTGCATGTATGTACACACGCAACTATGCATGTGTGTGTGTGTGTGTGTAATGTGTATATAAAAATAAAGAGCAGAATGGTGAATGTATAAAAGTATTAACTCTCAAGATAGCTCTGGGTGGAAAAGGTTAAATGTTCAAAACTTTCTCACCTTAGAGGTTTCCATACATTATGAGGAAATTACATTGTGAGGTTTGCATTCACAGCATTGATGCGCAGAATGGTTAGAAAAGGGAAACATGGGCACTTATACAATGTTTTACAAAAAACATCCAAGAGAAATAACAAACAACAACAATTTCAGGCAACAAGACCACAGGATAGCAAGTTAACAAACTTTTTAACCTCTTTTTTTTTTCCTTTAAATATTAGGGATTTATACAAAACACATAATAAAATACCCATGTTATCAAATTACTTCACACAAGAAACACACTGAAGCTCTAGGAAGAGAAGTACCTTTGGAATTTGGCACTAATTTTTTTCCCCCCACTGAGTTCTTATTATTTATTTAAAAGGAAAACTGAATCACATTTTGCTGAACACAAACACATCGAAATTGTCCACAATAATAATTTTAAAAAAATTGACATCAATGCCTCACAGAAGCCAACACAAACTTAGTCTGGAATAGTTTTTATTTTTCACATGAAAACTTTTTTTTTTTTTAAATTTTAAGCAAACAACTTTTTTTTCATTTTTTGAAATTCATTTTTTTGTTCTGTTGTTGATCTTCAAGTAAAAACCAATTTCAAACCTGTTGTTTATAAACACAGAACACTTAAAGACCATGAGGAAGCCCCCCCCCAATGATGAGACCACAACTTAATTCACAAAAGCACCAAATGAAACAATAGCTTACAATAACCTTTCTCCTGTACATCGAAACAGTATAAAATATAGGTAATTTTCATGTGCATTAATTCATGGATTGTCTAACTTGTGAATCAGTTCAGCAAAAGGTGACAAATAGGTAGCATTTGCCCTAAAACAGGGTAAATATTTTTTTTTATACTAATCTACAAAAAGTGGTTCTATATATATATATTCTTAATGAGAAAGTGAGCCACCTAAAATGGCCTTATCAAAAAACTTTACACTGCCTGAAAAATGTAAAAACTATTACAGACCTCTAGAGACTTAAAATCAGACAGTTCTTCATTTCAAACTATTTCGGAAGTAGTCTGTTAGAAACCAACATTCTGTGCCTGTGTGGACACATATTGCTATGTCATTAAGAGACCAGCCAGAATGCCAGTCTCTGTCTAATACTTTCAAGTCTGTTTTTTTTTTTACAGAAAAAAAGAAAAGAATAAAAGGGGGGAAAAAGGAAAAAGGAACATCGAAAACTTCAAACAAAACATTTTGCCACAGGTTGTGTGTGTGTGTGTGTGTGTGTGTGAGTGTGTGTGTTTAAATACTCCTATCATAAATTTGACTACGAATAAATTTTGATCTTGCATAAATGCAGCAATGCTTTTCACATTGACTTCCCAGAATTCATATAGCTAGATGAGGTCACATGCAAATTTCAAAGGTTCAAACTATAGATCAAAGATCAGTAGGAGAACCAAATTATGATGTGAGGTCAAGAAAGACATCAGAAACAATGACGGGACGATGAAACTTTTTTAAGACGTCACAGGGACATGCTAGGCAAACGATGAACTAACAGGCATGAAGATGTCTAGGGAAAAACAAGGAAGAGGAAAAAGTTATGGAGAGTCTATGCAGCAGAAACAAAAATCATTTTAATGGGTGCAGGAGAAAACTAATGCAAATTTTTTTTTCATCATTAGAGTCCCAGCCATTCACACAATTTGCATTAACTGTACACTTGGTCAACAATGGCCACAATGAAAGAGCCCCAAAGAATCCATTAGAAAGGAGTTTTAAAAAATGGATTCTTATTTCATTTGGGTAAGGAAAAAGGGTGGGAAGGAATCAAGACCCCATTTCAACAGAGGTAACATCAAGAGGTGTAGAAGTGGATTGAAGGGAATCAAGAGAAAGAGTGAGAGCAAAAAAACAACACCCCAAGAAAACTAAATTTTAAAGTAGATAATGGAAAGAACGGACAAGTTAACAAAGACATAATACAAACAAGAGGAGAGAAATTATGAACCATAAAAGATGTAGGGTTCAACGGTGAAAAAGCACCCATTCTTGGCACGTGTACTCTAGAGACTACTTCAAAATGATCTAGCTACCAGACAGAGCTGGTCTTTAGGTATCCAATAAGTTAACAATAGGCAATAAATAACTTCCATTATTTCTGAGGCAGTAAAAATTTTTGTATAAAAATAGAAATGCTTTTTACAAATAAAATTTACAGGCCTGTGGCTTTCTTTTGTATCTATTATTATTATTATTATTATTATTAAATTTTTATCTTTCAAGAAACATCAAGTATTGTCATTCTTTTTTATTTATTTATTTTTTAAACCCTGTAGCTTTAGAAACGGATCTCTATGTCTTTTTTATACTAATGCTCTTTACAAAAAAAAAAAAAAGCAAAAAACCCTGAAGAACTTAAAAAAAAACAAAAAAGGAAAACAAAACATAAATAGGTAAAATATATAAAGACAACCAGTGTTTAAACAGGATAATGTAACCACGTGTCAATCTGAAGCCCTAAGAATGGTAAATATTAAAGCTTCTTAAGAAGAAAGAAACAAACTGAAGTTATGGGAGGGAAAATGTTGAGTTCTAAATGAGTCACTTTCTTGGCCAAGGGCCATAGCTTTATTAAGCAAATTCAGAACTGGTGCCATTTGGATAATTCAGGATTGCTTTCATTATCCTCATCCAAAGTATTAAGGACACCAGGGCCGAGAAAGTCAAGTTGCAATTTTTTTCTTTTTGACAGCTCTAACTATTAAGATTGTAGCACGTGGATGGGTGCTTTCCTTTCAACGCTCATTAAAATAAAATAAAAATCTGAGTTGCTAATTCAAATCTCGTAGGTCATCCCACTTTTTTTTTTTTTTTTTGGTTAGATTAGTCAAGTTTCTCTTAAAACAGGTGGGGAAAATGGAAGCAGAATTGTCTCTTAGAGGTGGTGGGCCAGGTGTTCTTATGTTCTTTCTCAATCCCACCCCAAGCAAGGGTGGGCTTGCTCAAGAGACTTACCCTAAGAAATCTAAATTAAGAGCAGAAAGCTTCTGGGAGAACGGTCAGTAAGGTTTGCTGTCATTTTTTGAGCGCTTCAGCTGTACTTTCAGGCGTTTCATGCCAATTTGAAAGCCGTTCATCGCCTGTATTGCAGCTTGTGCAGAGACAGGATTGTCATAGCTAACAAAACCTAGAATGCACAAAAGTAGGTAAGGGAGAGAGAGAGAAAAAATGAATGCGTAAGAACCAGCAAAAAATCATTAGCACTTGGATTCTTTCACAGTGTTTCCCAGCATGAAGACTGAGAAGCATTTGATTTCCTTTCTTCAATTCTGTCACTCCTGCTTGCTTCCTAATTCTTTTACTGTCACTTCTGTTTGGTTTCTCTTTTGTGGCTTTAATAGGCAACTTTATCAATTGTTCTTCCATTGATTACAAAATCCAAATTGCTTTTGGATGTAGGTATAGATCTAGTATTTTTGGTTGAAAATGATACTTTGGGTTGTAAGACATAAGACCTGCCAAATATCTTGAATAAAAGGAATACTATTTAATATCCACTTAATTTCACAGATATTGACAGATATCATTTGGTCTGCAAAACTTGCTAAGCCACAAAAGCAAAACCTTTAACCAAACATCATATATTGTGCTAATGTATCTACTAAGGACCATATGTCAGGGAAACAAGGGCAATGTGTTATTAGTGTCAGTTCAGCTAAGAGACACAGCAGGAGAAAGTGGAAAAATAATTTCGCCATTTGGACTAAAGGCAGAATACACTATTTTCAATGTTCCATCCCCCAAATTCTTTTAAAGAAAATAATTAACATGCATACAGGAAGAAAATTTATAATCTAGTTTCCTGCATATGACACTAGCTTGACAACAGAAGAGTTGTCAAGTTATTATTTTATAAACAAAATTCTCAAAGTATGACCCATATGCAACAGACATGAACCAGCCCATTATTTTATTCCATTTTTTTGCTGGCTTTAAAAGTTTATAAAAAATTCGGGTGCTGCACGCCACCACTATTTTTTTCTTCTTTTGAATATTGAAAAACTTCGCTTTGAAGTTTCTCTTTTGTCAGATAAATGTATGTATGTATGTATGTATGTGTGTATATATATATATATGTGTGTGTGTGTGTGTCTTTGGTTATTCGGGTTTTCTCCCGCGTAAAATTGGAAGTGTCTTGGCGACATTTCGACAAAGTCCCATTCGTCATCTTCAGGCTGGTGTTTTCAGCTTCATGCTTCGAGGAGCAATGTGTGGTCTTAGCTGTTTCTTCCTTTTAACTGCCAGTGGAGGTATGAACTGATTGGGTGGGAGCTGGCTGTGTTCTGATTGGAGGTGTGTTCTGATTGGTTAGGGGTGCTCTGATTGGATGGGGGGGTTAGCTGTGCTCTGATTGGCTGGGGGGGTGTTCTGTTTGGGTGGGGGCTTTGTTGTGCTCAGGTTAGTCTGAGTTGCAGGGGGGTTTAAGATGGTGGTCTGCCTTGCTATTTTTTGGCTTCGCGTTCGTGGTCGTGCCTCATCTTCAGGGTGGGTGTCAGTTTGCTTCATGTATGGATTGGAGCAAACTGACACCCATCCTGAAGATGAGGCACGACCACGACGCGAAGCCAAAAAATAGCAAGGCAGACCACCATCTTAAACCCCCCTGCAACTCAGACTAACCCCCACCCAAACAGAACACTCCCCCAGCCAATCAGAGCACAGCTAACCCCCCATCCAATCAGAGCACAGCCAATCCCCCATCCAATCAGAGCACAGCCAAACCCCTAACCAATCAGAACACACCTCCACCCAATCAGAACACAGCCAAACTCCCACCCAATCAGTTCATACCTCCACTGGCAGTTAAAAGGAAGAAACAGCTAAGACCACACATTGCTCCTCGAAGCACAAAGCTGAAAACACCAGCCTGAAGATGACGAATGGGACTTCGTCGAAATGTCGCCAAGACACTTCCAATTTTACGCGGGAGAAAACCCAAATAACCAAAGACCTACACACACACACACACACACACACACACATACACACATACACACATACACACATTTTTCTGTTTTGTAACAGTTCAAATTATGCTTATCAAACAGTTAAAGCAATAAAATATCATCAAAATAATTTGATTATAATACAACATTGTCTTCCCTAATAATTTTTTTATTATCTTTGTAGAGATTAACTTTTGTTGTTACAATTATCCTGAATCTGTTATCATATTTACTAATTAAATTAAGTACGCTTTTAATTGGTTAAAAACTGCACCTCGTCAAGTAGATGATATAATATCTTGTAATACAAATAAACAAAAATCAATACATACATAACTAAAAATAACAAATCAGCAGAAGATAAAACTTCACGGAAAAGCAGAAGTCATTGAAGGTATGGAAAATTAGAAAGAGGAAGTTTTGAAACTGTCCTAAAGTTCAATGAAATGCATTCCGGGATGGGATGGGAGACATTTAGATATTCAACTATTTGTTTTACTAGATTATGCATTAGATAGCTTCTCTACCAAACAGGAAATGATGTCAAAAGCGATCTTCATGCTGAAAAATCTCTCTCCCGTGAAATATTCTTGCCAGGAATCCAGAGGAATTAATGGACTATGCTTGGCATCCTCTTGCAAAGAACTTTTTTTGTTGGTAGAAGGAAAGTTTGATTAATTGTGTCCACCTGGTCACTGAATATGTATCTCCCACTTCATAGATAAAGCTGAGGTGGAGTGGTCTTTTTTGTGCAAAGGGAGAGAATGAAGATTGGGATATGTGATGATGCTCATGTAGGCACATGTAAAAAAGAGACATGAAATTATAGTTGGTTTCTTGACAGTAAACAATTAGGGAAAATGTCCTAGTGCCCAGCTGCTCAGTTAGTGTCTGCAAGAAATGGTTTGGTAGATTAAAATGGGAAACAGGAGTTAAACTATAAGGATGGTTTTCATGATCAGTGAAAAAAAATTGCCAAATATTTTGCAGTAGCAAAAGCAGCTGAAGAGTAGGTGTGATACTGGAAGGACATTGTGCTGGTTCCAGTAACTTTTAGTTAAGACCCCAGCAAATCCATAATTCACTCAGAAGAGTGATGCAATAAAAGCTGATCTTTAACTTCAGACTGTTTTGAGAAAGAATGAAAAACTTTTGTTTTGTTTTCAAAACTGGAATACATAGTCATTTTAATCATGATTACAAGTCCTTCAGACTTCTTCTATATTTACTTATTTATTTACTTCAACTGCCAGGTACATAGCTGCATGCTAGCTATATTACAGTATTTTACACTGATATTTCTGGACAACTGTAACTTTTATTCCTAAGGATAAACATGGCTTCTCAAAATCAACCAAGAAGTATAGGTAGTCTTCGACTTACAACCATTATTGAGGCTCAAATTATGGTTATCATTTGTACTGGTCATTAAGTGAGTAATCACGTGACCAACCCAATTTTACCTTTTTTTGCAGTGGTCGTTAATCAAACACAGCTGTCATTAATCGAAGGTGGCAGTCACTAAATGAATCCATTGTTTGCAATGGGTATGTTTTGTGGGAAACCGGAATAAACATTGGATTCTGGCAAAAAATGACATAAATAGCAGTCACATGACTGCGGGGCACTGCAAACCGCCATAAATGGGGTCAGATTCTAAGCGCCCAAAGTGCAACAATGAATCTGGGTTGTAAGTACCTTTGGGGGGGGGTCCATTCTAACTTTGAATTGGGACCAAGCTACCATTTGTTAAGCGAGGTCTAAGATGCTAGATAATGAAATCACCCTAGTTTTTTATTTAGGACCGGGGTAACTTAATTAGCCTAGAACAGGTCTCCATACTATGTGGTTGAGTATGTGGTGGGAAACCAAGGCATAGTCTCAGCAAATTGCATGAGCCAAGTGATTGCATTAAGCCATAAAATGGTTTATTTGTTGGGGCATCGCATGTCACATGAACATAGCTGTTGAATTTCATTTTCCTGGGATTGATTATGTTCCATCAAGTCAATAATGATTCTTGCTGATTACATAAACAGATTTTTTCCATAACATTCTTCTCCTAATCAGCCCCTTTAGGTTGTCCAATGAACCTGGAATTAGTTTAAACACACTGTATGATCCCCTTCTCACTCTCTTTGTCCAGTTAGTTCATTCCATTTTGCTTTATATTCAGTTCTTACTTTTATTCTTCTCTGTTAATATTCCATCTTGGCTGAATTATAACAACATCATAGGAAATAATGCCCTGCAGATACACTAAGTTTATGTGTATTTCTTAGGCACGATCATGCAATTTTGGCTGTAAATTTGCATTAAACGGGTAAACTAGAACTAGCATTTAAAAGGAATAATTATTTATCAAATACTGTGTGTGAATGTAAGTATACTGCATTTAGAGAGTCAGTCTGGGGCAGTGGCTAGAAACTGTGAGACCACGAGACTGCAGAAACCCAGCTGGGTGACCTTTGGCCAGTCACTTTCCCTTAACCCTAGGAAGGAAGCAATAGCAATTTATTTCTGAAAAATCTTGCCAAGAAAACTGCAGGGACTTGTCTAAGCAATTTCTGAAAACCAGGCACGATTGAATGGAAGAAAAAAAATGCATTTAAAATGCAACTGCATAGTCTTTCTTAGGGCAGGAAATATTATTTAATATAATCTGCAAATAATGAGTTACACATGGAGAGGCACTTTTTTTTAACACAATAGAGAATAATTAGACACTCATAATAAGGTGCCTTGATTGTAAAATAAACGACATTCCTTCAGATAGGAGGTAATTAGTTTTATGCATTTGACAGTTCTTTTGTACATTTAGGAAAATATATTTTTAGGCCTTTTTCCTGATTCCACCACAAATGCTTGTACTTTTCAAGATTAATAGGAGTTGCTGCAAGGAAAGAAACATTTCACTTCATTATGGAGCTTTCACAGTCTTTCCTTTTTTTCACTGAAATAGTTATAGAGGACAAGCAAAGAATACCTCCTTTATCAAGAACATAAATATAAATCTATTTGGTGGAGAATGATTGGGAGTGGATGTTAACCAATGCCTCTAATTCACATCAGCAATAAATCCTAGGTGGTGAACCTTAAAATTTGGAACTTGGAAAGAGCCCTGGAGACTCTCAAGTGCAACTCCTTGCTGAATACAGGTTAAGATTCACTTAACAACTCTAGCAAGAAAAATCATAAAGTGAAGCAAAACTCATTTAACAAATGTCTTGCTTAGCAACATAAACTGTGATTGTGAGTTAAGGGCTACTGTGTCTCTCTCTGTGTGTATAAACCTTTGACATGAAAAGTCTACAGAAGCTGGCAGAACTGCCAAAAGCTTCTTCTGGCTGATCTTAAAAAGCTAAGCAAGACTGGGTCTAGTTTGTGCAGTAGTCCTTGACTTACAACCACAACTGAGCCTAAAATTTCTAACTTAACAACACTGCAGTTGTTAAGTTAGTAAATGGTTGCTAGATGAATCTGCCTTCCTCATTGACTTTACTTGTCAGAAGGTCACAAAAGGTCATCTCCTGACCCTGGAACACTAACAACTGTCATAAATATGAGTCAGTGGTCAAGTGTCTGAATTTTGTTCATGTAACCATGGGCATGGTGTAATGGTCGTTAAGTGTGAAAAACTGTCATAAGTCACTTTTTTCAGTGCTGTTGTAACTTTGAACAGTTACTTCAAATTTGCAACTGTTGTAAGTTGTACCTGATGGTACCATTAAGAGTTGGGTATTCCAAGAAATTTGGGGCTTTTAAATATAGATGCCCACCCCATGTGGTAAAACATTGTTTTATTGGGAGAATATTTATATGATGCCTCAAGATGCAGAGTTTTAATATTTTTGTGTCATTTTAGTCTTTATTATGATGTTAGATTGTTTATAACTTACAATTGTTTATGGTGAAAGCAGCTCTTAAACTAAGAAATAGACAAAAATTAATTGTTTTTAACCAAGAAACAAACATTTTGGACATAACAGGGCTATGTCCAAAAGGCCACCATAGATTAAGCTCAACCTAAAAGAGATTTTAAACTGAAAAGCGTTTAGATGAGGAAACCATTGCATAATTAAATCAAACTTAAGGCTCAGGAAAATATGTCCTATTTATATTTTTTAAATTCTTATTTTAATTTTAATTTACAAGTGGTAAAAACTATGAAATTTAAATTAATCAAAAAATGCTGAATAGGAATATAAAATAGACACAGAAAAACAAGCAGTTCAAGATTTTTCACCGTCATATAAAAACTTATTATCACCAATGATATTACCTACACTGAACTTTCACTACTACAGTTTTACAATCTTGAAGGAAAATGTCTGCCCTAAAGAGAACAAGCAATGTTTAGATAACTAACAGCAGATCACAGTAGAATGATGCTTAATGTAAAAAAAAAAAAAACATGTCTACAATTCTCCAGTGAAAGGCAAGATATATCAATAAATGTTGAACCTAAGATATCAATTTAGGAAAAGAGGAAAATAAAAGAGAGATAGCATGTTGGATTTTTGATGTTCTGTACTGAATGTTACATACCAAAACACTTGCTCAGATTAGTCTGTTTGTCAATGAAGACTTTAGCAGAAATAACATTTCCAAAAGGCATAAACATCTGCAGTATGTCCTGGTCTCCAAATTCTTGTGGGAGATGATAAATGAAAAGATTTGCTCCTTCTGGACCTTTTAAGAAAAAAGAGAACAGGCAGCCAGAATAAGCTTTTATTTTATGCTGAAAACACTAAGTATAATTCAGCTCACTCTTTCACTCTGTGGTGTCTTCCAAGTATATTAGGACTGCAAGGAAAACAAAGATATATATATTTTTTTACCCAAGGTCTCCCCCCTCTCCCCCCCATTATAAATTGGGTCCACTGGAACTGGGTGGCCAACAAACTTAAATGAATGAACGAATAAGGAAAATTGAAAACAAAAAGGATTGTGAAGCTGTTCACATATTTATTTTTCACATTCTCTATAAAATGGTTGAAGTGTGAAAGAAACTGGAATTTATTTAAATTTATTATAGTTGTCCAACTCAAGTAGACTTATAAACCAATTTATGAAACAGGGAGAGAAATCTGTCTCAATACAATTTTCAGAAGTCTGTGAAAATGATAAAATAACACAAATAACAAAGCATCAGAAACTTGTTGATAGAGAAATGATTTAGAAAACAAGATTTCCTGGACATTTCATATGCCAAAATATGCATTTTAAGCTTTGTTCTGCTCTTTTTTTTTTGCAGTTGTTTGGAGAAAAATAATCCTCTTTGTATGTTACATATCTGTTACATAATATGGAGAATAAAGTTTAGAATATTGCTTTTTTATTTCAGCACAATACGGATTATTTTTTCCCCACTTTCACTTTTTTCACTTAACTTTTTACCTTCTTGGTTCTCCGAAATGGGTAAAAATGAAGAAATGCTACATTCCTGGCAAGTCCATATGAATAAACTCCAGAATGTAATGTAATGTTTTATAGCAAACATTTATAATCTGATGTTATAAATCTGTTATGAATTTTATATGTAGCAAAGCGGCTTTATATTTATATACAATATGGGCTATAAAGTAATTATAATTATTACTTAGTTAATTTATTTGCAAAAGTTCAGTTTTTCTGACTGTATTAGAATTCTTGGAAGTTATCTCTCTCTCTCTCTCTGGGACTACAATTGGCATGACGATCAAAAAGTTATGATGGCAGTTTTGATTGCTATATCTATCTATCTATCTATCTATCTATCTATCTATCTATCTATCTATCTATCATCCATCTATCCTGTCTGTCTGTCTCTCAGTGTTTGTCTTTCTTTCTCTCTCTCTCTTTCATTTCTCTCGCACACTCTCTGTCTGTCAATATGTTTATCTACCTATCATCTATCTATCTATCTATCTATCTATCTATCTATCTATCTATCATCTATCTATCATCAAATCTAATCTATCTATCATCTATCTAGCCATGCATCCATATTTATATAGCTGCCCATCTCAAGAAATTGAAAATATTTTCACATCTTTTTGTTCTATATTTCCAATATATTTGTGTATTGCTGATTTCTTTATTTCTGTTGTCTTAATTCCTGTCTATCTCTCTGGTTCCTCTCTGTGGAGCTAAATTCCTCTTTTGATGGAATTCAGTCTATCTTTGATCATTTCTTTAGTTTCTGTTTTCTACTTTGTTCAAGTCTTGATTTTTTTCTTCCCCTTTTCCTAGTGGGGCTTCTTCACCTTTCCCAGTCTTGGCTCCCACCTGAGGTAAACTTTTTTTTCACACAGTTCTGAGGGAATACAAAAAATGCCTTTCTCTCCCGATTTTCCTCAGCTGCTGTTTCCTTTTCCTTGCTGTTTCTATCCTTTAATTTTTCTTTTTTCTTTTTTTTGGCTTCTGAGTTTTGGCTCTGTTTATTTATCTTCAGCTTCATGAGCTGGCAGGCAGACATTTTGTCTTCCTTCCTCCTCACCTCCTTCACTGCCACCTGCTCAAAGCTGCTGTTTGATTGGCTGCTACTACTGGACTGGCAGCTGGGTCACCCTAGCAACAGGGGAGGGCTAAAAAGAAGCTCAGGTACTTATTACCTGCTCAGGTAGGCTCCCTCAAGGAAGTGAAAGGAATTGGCAGAACTAGCAGTTTACTTCATACATGCATAAGGATTTTTTTTTAAAAAGGATCCCAAATAGTTGGCAGTTCTTCAAATGCCCTTTTTAATACCTTAAAAAGCCATAAGTGTTCCATGAGTGGCAAGTTCTGTTATAGAAATATATAAATACAGAAACTTAGAAAACTGATGGCAGAAAAAGACCTAGAGATCCATCAAGCCTGCTCTTTGAGTTTTTTTTAATTTATTTGTTTATTTTATTTAGTTTGATTTTATTTTTTCACTTTTAATTTTTGTCAGATGATGGACATGCGTTTATTCAGAGACCTTCAAATAATAAATTTATTACATTACATTACATTACATCATATTATTTTTAATATAGTATATTTTTAAATCTCTCTATATAAATTACATAAATAGACAAACAAAGAAAAGAAGTAAATTGCTTTTCTTCTGTCACCTCCATCTCCTTGTTGTTTATTATAGTCAAGGGCTTAGGAAAATGGTTTATTTATTTGTTTAGTTTGATTTTATTTTTTCACTTTTAATTTTTGTCAGATGATGGACATGTGTTTTTTCTTCAGAGACCTTCAAATAATAAATTTGATTTATCATTTTATATTCCATTACACTACATTATATTATTTTTAATATAGTATATTATATTTTTAAATCTCTCTATATAAATTACATAAATAGACAAACAAAGAAAAGAAGTAAATTGGATTCTGCTTTCCTTCTATCTCCTCCATCTCCTTGTTGTTTATTATAGTCAAGAGTTTAGGAAAATGGCTTAGCCAATTTGGAGCACTCTTCTTAAAGGACTATTGATAACTCTGATAGCCCATGAATCCTTGACCTTCGATGCAAATCGCCACACCTATTTTGTATTGTGTATTGTGTATTTCTTTCTTGGCCTAAATGAGCCAGGAATACAGGTAGTCCTTATTTGCTATGGGGCTGTTTTTTGCTGAAACTTGAAGTAAATGCTGGTTTCTGGAGGGAAAACATTTGTAAATTGCAGGCACGGGGTGCTGCAAATGGTTAAAAATGTGGGCCAGTTGTCGAGTTGCCCAAAATATGATCACATCACATGACGGGAGGAGGGGGGGTCAGATCTTCAAAACTGGGTTGTAATTAGCTTTTAGGGGGGTTGTTGTAACTCTGAATGGATGCTAAGCAATCAGTCATAAGTCGTGGACTACTTGTAATTAGATTGGAGAAAAACACTTCTCTAAAGCAGTTGAGCTCGAAGGACAGGTAGAAACCTAAGAAATAAATAGATAGGAGAGAAGCCCTTTTTTCCCCATTGAACATCTTGCAATTGGCATTAATTTATTCTCAGTATTCACTTTCTGGGTTTCTTTTGCTCCATCAGCACCTCATGGGAAGCAATCAATCCTTTATTTGCTTCCCCTCCAGACTCTCGGTTAAATAAGCGAACCTTTCATTGTAACAACGATGGATTTGGTCATTAACCTCCAAACGCTATTTAGCTTATAAAAGCTACATGTTTGTAGTGTACATGCAAATCCAGAGAGGGGAGCTCCTTCTCCGTCAGCAATGGAAAAAAAAAAATTCAAGGATGGTTTGAACCAGAGCACTTTCCTTTTTTCTTTTTCTTTTTTGCCAAAGCAGCAGACAATATCTATTTTTGCATTAGAAAAGCATTGGGTGGTAAGATTCTTTGAGCCAGTGCCTGAAAGGAATTTTGTGTGCTGGGAAATTAAATATTTATAGGGTTCCTATATATTCTCTTTGCCAAAAGAGAATGTGCAGGCACGACTACTTAGGTGCAGCTTAGTTCCGGGTTCAGTGTCAATTTTGATGAGTCAGTGACTTTGTAAAGGGATTTGGGAATCACAAACTTTCCATTTTTCTGCAGTCAGATATTCCTTAACAATCTAAACTAACTAGATAGTAGCTCCAGTATAGGTGAGTCATAGGCCTGCAGTGCTTCCATATTAACATCATTTTTTTTTTTACAGTGGTTCTCAACCTGTGGGTCAGGACCCCATTTGGGGTCGAACGACCATTTCACGGGGGTCGCCAAACAAGGCTGTCCGCCATTTCCCCCCCCTTTTCTTTGGCCACGCCCCTGGCACCCGGTGATGTATAAGTGGTTGGGGTGAGCCGAGGTGGCGCAGCAGTTAGAGTGCAGTACTGTAGGCCACTTTAGCTGACTGTGTTCAGCAGGTCAGCGGTTCAAATCTCACCGGCTCAAGGTTGATTCAGCCTTCCATCCTTCCGGGGTAGGTAAAATGAGGACCCAGATTGTTGGGGGCAATGTAAATATATATATGTATACATTGCTTACTGGTGTACACCGCTTAGAGAGTGCTTGCACTTAAAGCGGTATATAAGTCTGATAAATAAATAAATAAATAAAACATAGGGAACTGTATTATGGGGTCGCGGCATTAGAAAGGTTGAGAACCACTGTGCTAGAGGGATAGGACAAGTATAAGAAAACTATAATAAGCAAAGGTTGGGCTAATGGGGGGAAAAAATCAACATTGCTCTGCCTTATTCTTTGAAAATAGAAACATATTGTACATGGTACTTTCTGAGTCTGGTGGCTTGCTTGCAAATGTTTCATTACCCAACTGGTGTGCATGGATGAGAGCAAGTTTGGTCCAGCGGTTAAGGCACCAGGCTAGAAACCAAGAGACTATGAGTTCTAGTCCTGCCTTAAGTAAAATAGCCAGCTGGGTGACTTTGGGCAAGTCACTCGCTCAGCCCAACTCACCTCACAGAGTTGTTGTTGTGAGGGAAGTACAGCAGAAGGAAGGTGTATTGGATATGCGCACTGCCTTGAGTTATTAGTAAAAATAATGGGCATGGGATATAAACAAACAAAAAAATAAAAATGTTGCCTATTTGGATAATGGCCTGCAAGCCAACAACCAAGCTCAAAGAGCACCAAGGTTATATTCTCTTCTGCTGTACCCTAATGTTTTGCAATTATTTTCTTCCACTGCAGCATAAACATTGGGTGCCAGGAGGGCATCATGGAATAAGAAAACTCTACTTAACGATGGAGCTTAATAGTAATGATAGCTGCAGTTGTACTAATAAACTAAATCTCTATGGAGATTCTCAGTCATCCAGGTCATGGTTGTCCCAAAAGTGCTTTTTCACAAGGCAATTGGACTTTCTTTTTTCTCTTTGAAGATGTTTCACTTCTCATCCGAGAAGCTTCTTCCGCTCTGACTGGATGGTGGGGAATGGAAGGATTTGTATTCCTTGCAGACAGCTGGTCATTTGCATCCTTTTCGAGCAGCGGTTCCCGACCTTTTCTATACCCCGCGCCCCTAGGGCGCTTCTGACATATTCTCGCACCCGTTACCAAAGTTCAAAATAACGACAATGAATTATGCTCACACACTATAATTTTGAAATTTCTAAAAGCAAGTTTTCACACTCCCCGGAATATCGTCTCGCACCCCCGCTTGAGAACCCCTGTTTTAGAGAGTCCTTGAGGCAACTTGGAGGTTTGTCTGTGTCCTCAGAGTCACCTGAGTGGTACAAGAGGACCGCTGGTTGGAAAGAGGGGTCAAAGAGGCCATCTATGTTAAAATGGAACAGCCTTATCTCAAGAAAGAGGGAGGGATACATCATCTATCTTCAGTCTACAATACTATCCTTTCAGCTGTTCCAAGAAGGCTCCACATCCATTTGCACTACTCAGGTGATCCTAATAATTTTATTTTTATTTTTTATTTTTTCAAACTCTCCCCCATACATATACTGTGATATTTATCAGATGTTAATAATAATAATAATAATAAAGTTGGAAGGGACCTTGGAGGTCATCTAGTTCAACCCCCTGCTCGGGCAGGAAACCCTACACCATTTCGGACAAATGGCTGTCCAGTCTCTTCTTAAAAACTTCCAGTGTTGGAGCATTTACTGCTTCTGGAGGCAAGCTGTTCCACTGATTAATTGTTCTCACTGTCAGGAAGTTTTTACATTCTTTTTACATTCATATATAAGATACTTTTAATAAAATGAAATAAATACATACACTTGGTGTTGCTCGCCCATTTCCCTTTTCACTGTATCCACACTCCTTCTCTACCTTCTTTCTCCCTTTCTTCTCTTCCCCACTTCCCTCTTCTTCCTCTCCTCTTCTCTTTCCTTCATACTCAGGTGATCCTGATGACACATATAAGCCTCCAAGTGGCCTCAACAACTCCCTAAAACAGGAGTCTTCAAACTTGACCCTTTTACGACTTGTGGACTTCAACTCCCAGAATTCCTCAGCCAGCATGCCTGGCTGAGGAATTCTGGGAGTTGAAGTCCACAAGTCGTAAAAGGGCCAAGTTTGAAGACCCTCGCCCTAAAAGAATGCAAATGACCAGCAGATTGCCTGCAAGGAACGTAACTCCTTCCGTTCCCCACCATCCAGTCAGAGCTGAAGAAGCTTCTTGGATGAGAAGCGAAATGTCTTCAAAGAGGGAAAAGAAAGTCCAGTTGCCTCGTGAAAAAGCACTTTGGGATATTGATAAACTAATTTTCGAGGGCCACTAAGTGTCATTTGTTTTTAGTTTTGAATTTAGGATCTCTTCCTTGCTCCCTTTTGCATTTCCCCGCATGGCTTACCTTCTTTCTGGCTGCCTGCAGCACTTTGTTGTTGTAGCAAACTTTGACTGTATAGCGTAGGCAGTGCCGCAGCGGCATACTGCTGTATTCCTGAGTAGGCTTGGGTGAGGGCATCCATTGTGCCAGCTGTACCATTGGTCAAGCCTGTTGCACCGAGTCCTCCGTTCAGGGCAGCCATACCTGAGAGCATTTGAGCAACTTTACAAAAAACCCAACAATAGAGAAAAGAAATTGCACTTATTCATTAGTGCTTTCCAAACATCGTTAGCATTAATATGACACCGACAACAATGGCTGTGCATGCAGATAAAAAAAAATAATAACCACAGGGGTAAGAATAACAGTAATACAACTTGGGCACTTCACCAGATGATCAAAACAACAGGCAGGACAACATCCAATCTATAAACACATATAAAGATTGGGGTTAGGAATTATTGTTAATAGCAACTCAGTTTCCCATGCAGGCTGCACCCGGCAAAAATTGGGGGTCATCAGAAAATCTGTTTTCCCACTATGATTTATGGCATCTTCAAAGCATCACACAGAGAACTTTAAAGCAATATAAAGCTCATTAAAGTTGTGTCGGTACAATTACAGATGATTCTAGAACAGCGGTTCTCAACCTGTGGGTCGGGACCCCATTTGGGGTCGAACGACCATTTCACGGGGGTCGCCAAATAACGCAGTCCGCCATTTTTTCCCCCTTTTCCTTAGCTGTGCTACTCCCTTTTATTCTATTGGCTTTTGAAAGCCAATAGAATAGACTCTCTTGAATAGAGTTTAATTCTATTGGCTTTCAAAAGCCAATAGGAATTATCCAGGCTGTCTCTGCCCTGCTGAGCCCGCCAAAAGCCCCAGTCTGCAAACGGTGCTGCAAGTTGTCTGCAGTGAAGGCAAGCTGTCTGGAAGTTTCCACCCCTCCCTGCTGAGCAACTACTAAAAATGTAAGTAAAAGAGGGCCAGGGGTGGGAGGTGGGAGGTGGGAGGCCGGCGGGCGCAGGGAGGTTGCTGGCATGTGTGGGGCCCAGCAGGTGCCTTACCTCCCTTGTGCTGGGCCAGCTGGTGGCCCAGCCGATGGTCGGCCTGCGCCGTCTCTGCCGCTTGCCAGTTACGTCTCAGCTGGCACAGGGGGCAGCACCATGCATGTGCGGCGCTCCTGGGCAGGGAAAGTCCTCAACTTACGACCGGTTGGGTAGTCCTTGACTTACGACCGATTGGGGGTCGCGGCATTAAAAAGGTTGAGAACCACTGTTCTAGAAGAAGGTTTCTCCACTTGGTCAACTTTGAGATGTGTTGATTTCAACTCCTCGAATTCCTAACCAGCCTTTCCATTGCTAAGAATCTTGAGGGCTGAAGTTCACACATCTCAAAATTATCCAAATGAGGAAACACTGTTCTAGATATATGTCTCCAGATAACCAAACAATCTGCTACTACCAAGAGTGAGCCAGACTTTCAGCTTATATAACTGAAAACTAGTAGGTCAGGAAGACAGCTTCTGGCTAACAACTGGGAAACCTTAAAATTGTCAAGGTTGAGAAACACTGCTCTAGAGCAATGTGTGTCCACCCTTTAGATATTTGAAGACTGTTATATTTCTCCTTAGAGGATAATAAAATATGACTACTTGGTTTATTTAGGACCCTTAAAAGAGAAGCATCTTTTCAGTGATACTGATGGATTCCAATTACCAGATAAAATTGGGAAACTAATTAGGTAAAAGTAAAAAGCTGAGGTTGTGTGTCATTGCCTTATTCTGCTGTGCCAAAAGAAGTCAGAAGTCAATGCTTTTCTTTTTCTTTCCCTCTTTGCCCTACCTTTTTCCCTCTTCCCCCTTCCCTCACCTATTTTTCCATTATTTTCATTTTTCTTTGGATCTCTGTATTTTATATTTTGATAAACTAATAAAAATATGAACTGAGCAAAATTGGGAAACTAAACTTGCTAAGTTAGCTCTCTCTCAACCTGGTTCTTTTCAGACATGCTACAGCAGCGGTTCTCAACCTGTGGGTCGGGACCATCGAACGACCATTTCACGGGGGTCGCCAAACAATGCAGTCCGCCATTTTTTTTTCTCCTTTTCCTTAGCTGTGCTACTCCCTTTTATTCTATTGGCTTTTGAAAGCCAATAGAATAGACTCTCTTGAATAGAGTCTAATTCTACTGGCTTTCAAAAGCCAATAGGAATTGTCCAGGCTGTCTCTGCCCTGCTGAGCCCGCCAAAAGTCCCATTCTGCAAACGGTGCTGCAAGTTGTCTGCAGCGAAGGCGAGCTGTCTGGAAGTTTCCACCCCTCCCTGCTGAGCAACTACTAAAAATGTAAGTAAAAGAGGGCCAGAGGTGGGAGGTGGGAGGCCGGCAGGCGCAGGGAGGGTTGCTGGCGTGTGTGGGCCCCGGCGGGTGACTTACCTCCCTTGGGCTGGGCCAGCTGGTGGCCCAGCTGGTGGTCAGCCTGCGCCGTCTCTGCCACTTGCCAGCAAAGCCTCGGCTGGCACAGGGGGCGGCACTTACGACCGGTTGGGTAGTCCTCGACTTGCGACCGGTTGGGGTCGCGGCATTAAAAAGGTTGAGAACCACTGTGCTAGAGCAGGCATGTCAAACTTGCGACGTCACGTGCATATTGGAGCTTTTTCTCCATTGTCGGCAATGGGATGGGCACGGTTTTGGGATGACGGGTCCGGCCCGTAGGCCAGCAGTTTGACAGCCCTGTGCTAGAGCTACAGTTGCAAAATTCCAGAGTATACCCCCTTCAGGACATTGCAACGTTATAATGTTAGGAAACCAAGATGTTGTTGAAGGCTTGCAAATTCTTTTAAGGATGCACAGAAATCTTGAGTCTGAAGGAGTTCTTTGCCAGGGTTGTCCATTAAAATGTCCAACTTATGACAATGTTTCAGATTTTTTTAAAGGGAAAACAAAAGGAATGACAGCTCCCTTTCAGTGGCTTTAATTTTTGTTACCCCCAAATTTCCTGTTCTAGCAATTTAAGTTTAAAGCTGAAGCTAGATTGAAAAAGTCAATAGAATCTCCCCCCCCCCAATCCTGCCCATCAGCTCCAAGACTGAATAGTTGTTGCTATTGGATCAAAGCTGCAGAAAAGTGATTTGAGGAACAGACCACAAATAAATAACCCAGGATGACCAGTGTTATTTACTTACAGTCAAATCACATTCCTGTCCCTTTTAATCTTCTTGTATAACCTTTCTCCTAAACCTTTATTTACACCGATGACAATTTCATAAAAACAGAGAGGGACAATTCTGAGAAACTTGATAAGAAATAACAAGGCAATTGCTGTGCAGAGAACTTAAGAAAGCAACATCTACTGAAAAAAATACTTATGAGTGGGTCAAGCAGACCCCCCCGTCAAAAAAAACCAAAACCCCAAATCCTACAGACATATGGGAACATAGTACCTAGAAATTTTGAAGAAAGGGACAAGGATATCCAAAATCATTATTAGTGATAGGAATTTTTCTTTCTTTTCTTTCTTTCTTTCTTTCTTTCTTTCTTTCTTTCTTTCTTTCTTTCTTTCTTTCTTCTTTCTTTCTTTCTTCTTTCTTTCTTTTCCCTCCTTCCTTCCTTCCTTCCTTCCTTCCTCTGCCTTCATTTTCTTCCCTTCCTTCCTTTCTTCCTTCCTTCTTCCCTTCCTTCCTTCCTCTTCTTTCCTTATTCTTTCTTACTTTCTTTTTCTTTTCTTTCCTTTCTTCCTTCTTTCCTTCCTTTCTCTGCCTTCATTTTTTTCCTTTCTTCCTTCCTTCCTTCCTGTCTTCCTTCCTTCTTTCCTTCCTTCCTCTGCCTTCATTTTTTTCCTTTCTTCCTTTCTTCCTTCTTCCCTTTCTTCCTTCCTTCCTCTTCTTTTCTTATTCTTTCTTTCTTTCTTTCTTTTCCTTCCTTCCTTCCTTCCTCTTCCTTCCTTCCTTCTTTCTTTCTTTCTTTCTTTCTTTCTTTCTTTCTTTCTTTCTTTCTTTCTTTCTTTCTCCTTCCTTCCTTCCTTCCTTCCTTCCTTCCTTCCTTCCTTCCTTCCTTCCTTCCTTCCTTCCTTTCCACCATTCCATCTATCTTTCACATTTTGGAACTGCTCAACTCTCTTACAGAGGGAGGGTAACAGGTTTTTAGTAACTGGTTGCAAAAAAAGAGGATAGGGCCACATTTTTCTGGGTCATACCTTGGATTTTACTGGTTGCAACTGCAGAGATAAGGTGACCAACCGTCCTCCTTTAGGGAGGACAGTCCTCCTTTTGTAAGTTCTGTCCTCCCTCGAAAAATGTCCTCCTTCATGTCCTACTTTTCAATATTTGAAGACTAATCTGCAGGGCTTTTTTTTTCATTATAGAAAGCTCAGAACAGCGTTCCGGCACCTTTTTTTGATGGTTTCCCCCCCCAACTTTTGCATGAGCTGTGCTACTCCCGCTATTGGCTTTCGAAAGCCAACAGGAGTTGCTGCTGAGCGCGCCAAAACACCCGGCTGGCAAACTTTGCACGTGCAAGTTGTCTGTATTATTGTTGCAATGAATAAAATGTTTCTTTTATTTATGATATTTTTTTCTTCAATTTATATGTGTCCTCCTTTTCATTGTAAAAAAGTTGGTCACCTGAGCAGAGAATAAGTCAAAGAGTAAGATTTGCCTCTTTAGTTTAGACCAGAAATAGCCAATTTCTTCACCAGCACAGGCTGGGTAAAAGATCAAGGGAAGAAGAGGTCTTGGTATGGCGGGAAATAGACTCTTTCCATTTTTATTTTGTTTTGTTTTCGTGAGCCCAAAAGCTCTTTTTGAAATCCCAGAAAAATCAGAGTGACAGATGCCTCATTGAGAGCATCTGGGGAGTGAGTCCTACGGAGAAACAAATCACATTTTCATTGATTGTATCAACGGGATTTCAAAAGTTCAGGTAAACACCAGCAGACTACAGGAGAAAACACTTTTGGTTAAAGGCAAACAGCTTGAGGAAGCTCTCTTTTTCTTTTGCAGCTGTGAAAAAAAAAAAAAACTGGAATGGCAGTGGGAATTTCATGCTTTTTGAACCTGCCCCCCTCTCCCCCTTCCCTGTATTCCCTGCCTTTTAGTTAAACATGGTTGATGAAAGTCGACATATCTAGATAGAGGTCTGAAAGCATACTTTAAAAAAGTTTTCTTCATATTTCATCAATGTGCTGGCATTTACTGAGTCTCAGAGGCTGCTTTCAGAATAATTCATCAGATGTTTAGGCTTTAGGACTCAGTGTTTCTCAACCTTGACAATTTTAAGGCATGTGGACTTCAACTCCCAGAATTCCACAGCCAGCAATGCTGGCTGTGGAATTCTGGGAGTTGAAGTCCACATGCCTTAAAATTGTCAAGGTTGAGAAACACTGGTTTAGGTGTTCACAAGGAAAGACCCAGAAAAGGCCTCAGATACAGGTTCCATGTAAAAATTGGGCTTGGGTCACTATCTACCTTGTACGCTCAAATTTCTTTTTTGTCGCTCCATGCAACTGATTTACCTTTTTTGTGCTTGAGTGTAAAATGACAGAAACACAGAACTTTGCATTTGCCAGTTATGTAAAATAATAGAAATACAGAATTTTGTACGCACCTGTTTGTAACTCTGTATGTAATGTAACTGCATAATGCAAGTATTAATGCAAAATAGTAGAAATACAGAACTTTGCCTTTGCAATTTCAGAATTTCTCCTTTTGTTTTACATTCAACCACAACAAGGGCGAATTGATGACATGAAGCAATCATTTAGATTAAGTGGATCAACTGATATATTACAGTAATTGACAAGCACAAACTGTGTTCATTCTCCTGGCACAACAGTGAATATAGAAGACTTTAAAATGTCTTGATTTTTTTTGGCTAAAATCGAATGTAGTAGTAGTAGTAGTAGTAATAATAATAATAATAATAATAATAATAATAATAATAATGCCTCTACCAAATGAAGAACAGAATAGAGGCATGGGAAGACAAAGCACTACATGGCCAATATGTTAAAAAAATAGCTGGGAAAGCAGATAATAACAAGACCTGGCAATGGCTAAAAGCAGAAAAATTGAAGAAAGAGACTGAGGGACTAATTCTGGCTGCACAAGACCAAGCCTTAAGGACAAATGCATATAAAGTCAAAATTGAGAAGACAACAACAGACAGTAAGTGCCGCCTATGCAAAGAAGCTGAAGAAACAGTGGACCACCTGGTAAGCTGTTGCAAGAAGATTGCACAGACTGACTACAGTCAGCGGCATGACAAAGTAGCAACAATGGTGCATTGGAAGATCTGCAAAAAATATCATTTGCCTGTAAGCAAAAACTGGTGGGATCATAAAATAGAGAAAGTCATAGAAAATGATAAAATTAAACTGCTCTGGGACTTCAGAATTCAAACAGACAAGCACCTGCAACATAACACCCCAGACTTAACAATTGTCGATAAGAAAGACAAAAAAGTCTGGATAGTGGACGTGGCAGTGCCTGGAGATAGCAGAATAGAAGAGAAAGAACTGGAGAAGATAACAAAATACAAAGACCTACAAATAGAAATAGAAAGACTGTGGCAAAAGCAAGCAAGGGTAGTACCAATAGTAATAGGCTCCTTGGGTGCAATCCCAAAACAACTGGAGCACCACTTGAACACCATTGGCATTGACAAATTCGCTATTAGTCAATTGCAAAAGGCGGCCTTACTAGGAACTGCTTCCATCCTGCGACGATATCTGTAATACCATCAAACATCCACATCTGCCTATCCCAGGTCCTGGGTAAGGACTCGATAGGTAGACAAAATGCCAAATCCAGTCTGAACATCTGGCTGACTGTGCGATGATCGATAATAATAGTAAAATTGGAAGGGACCTTCCATGTAGTACCAAGTATATCACAGATGCTTGACTCAACTTGTATACTTTAGCTTTCATCATTATATTGTTGGAACCTAACTATTTTAAACTATGATTATGTTCCTTCTATTTTATGTTTTGTAATGGTGGAGGTTATCTTGTGCATTACTTGCTGTGATTCATTGCTTTGATTTTGGGACAGCTGTTTAGTTTTGCTGACTTGATTCATTTCTGCTTTCAATTCTTTCTGCTTGAAACTCAATATATTTTTGGCTGGCTCAGAAAGTACACCAATGTCTTGGGAGTAGTAAGCTGTCAGAAATATGAGAGAAATATTGGGGATGAGGTAGAGATCCCTATTTTGTACTCTTTGGAGGTTTTGGATTTCAATGTTCAAAATGTTCAACCAATATACAAATGGCCATTTTGCAGGTGCTGGTTTAGCAAATGCTGATCTGAAGACACAATACATGCTTGTACACATGCACGCACACATAATCACACAACACAGAGCTATAGAAACAATCATTACTGCGTATGCCAGGCTAGATTATTAAATCATGGCATATATTATAATAATCTGACTTACTCTAATAAAAAATGTGGCAGAATGTATATATATATATATATATCTTTCAAAGGTCTGACATTCTTCTCCTACCTGCCTCTACAGCCAAGAACTAAAGTGATTTATTTGAAAATAGCTTCCGTATGGTTTGTAGAACTCTATAAATGAAACTACCGGCAGTAGGCATATTTCATACCTCCTGTATCTAGCGAGTATTCTTACTGATGCTGTGCTATTACTCTTAGCAGTAACTTCTATGGGCAATAGCAACACATCTCCTTAGTTGACACTTCAACTGAAACCTATATTTCTTGATCAATTAAAACAAAAGCAGAATCTATTGAACTGATCCCCTTCTAACTATCTGAATGCAAGCTTAATGTGTGTGCCCTGGAAGAGAGGATAAAATAATATCAAGCAATATAAACAGCATAATTCTTTAACAAGACAAAACTTATTTAGATTTTGGGCCTGAAGCTGTCTGGAATAGAAGTTCTCAAGTTTTATCACCCATTTTGCACATGTGTTATTTCCCTAGTAGCATTCACTCTACTAAAAACGATTAGTGTCCCTAAGGTGATTACAGGGAAATTGCTGGAGTGTCCACCACAGCAATAAATACTCACTGTTTACGGTACCTGCTAGTGCATTAATATTATTCAATCCAACCGTTGCTCCAGCTAGTCCTTGCAGAGTCCCCAGAGAAGTCAAAGAATTCATTGCCCCAGCTGTGGAATTTGCTGTTGATGCAGCCACTAGAATAAAAGAAAGAAAGAGAAAAGAAAATTATTCACTTCTAGAATACCTGGGGAATTCTGGGAGTTGAAGTCCACAAGTCTTAAAGTTGCCAAGGTTGGACACCACGGCCATACACATTATGGAAAGCTATTGAGTATTAGTCCTTTGGCCGCAAATTTATGACATGTCACAATATGTCATATATTGTGACAATATAAAGGACAAGGGGGGACATGATAGCAGTATTCCAATATCTCAGGGGCTGCCATAAAGAAGAGGGAGTCAAGCTATTTTCCAAAGCATCTGAAGGCAAGACAAGAAGCAACGGGTGGAAACTAATCAAGGAGAGAAGCAACTTAGAACTAAGGAGAAACTTCCTGACAGTGAGAACAATTAATCAGTGGAACAGCCTGCCTCCAGAAGCAGTAAATGCTCCAACACTGGAAGTTTTTAAGAAGAGACTGGACAGCCATTTGTCTGAAATGGTGTAGGGTTTCCTGCCTGAGCAGGGGGTTGGACTAGATGACCTCCAAGGTTCCTTCCAACTTTACTACTATTATTATTAATAATAATAATAATTAGATTAGAAGGAACTTAAAGTGTGTCCCTCTCATTGGTTTATCCATACGGTTTTAAGTCCTTTGCTTAAAGCACACATTGGGCTCAAAATTTTAATAAGAGATAGAAAACCAATGGCCCACATTATGGTTTGACTCATACGCTGAACTCAGATTTAGTGCAGCTTCTTTGCTTACAGCTTAGCTTGATTTGTAGCCTTTCTTGTTTATTCAACAAACTGGTGGTTGGAAATTCTGGTTTGGAATTATTTTGATCTCTCCATTGCAGCTGCATGCATATATAAAAATGGTATGTTATGAATAAAGCATAAACCATTGTAGAATATATGTTTCAGAGGAAATTGTTTTGATATGGAAATGGCAAATGGTACATTCATCAGTTCTCAGATGATCTGGCTTATGAAAAACTATTTGATACCGAAGGAAAATGTACAAATTGCCTTCCAGAGTTCCCCCCTACAGCAAATGAAATGGATACTATAACTTGGTGTTTGTGAATTGAATAAACTCACAGAAGACCATAAAAAAAAAAAAAAAGCTGGTAGCTGTCCCTAGTTTTTAGCAAATTAGATGAACTGACACAGTTACACTGTTAGGAAGCTTTTCTTGAGGTTCCATTGCTGTTTAGTCTAATTGTTAGAAAAAGATGAAATATCTAGCATTCACGTATCCTTGGGCTTTGCTTTCAGGAATTATACCTTGACAACACTTTGTCTTGGTAAAAGCAAATTGATCGTTCTTTTCTTCTGTGCTGGGAATATTATCCCTGTGTTATCAGTCTGAACATCAATAGTCAAGAAGAATAGCATTCAGAAAGCTAGTTAGTATTGAAGGGATGGGTGAATAATGCCTATATGATTTGTGAACATTAAAGAATACAGCTGCAAGCTAAAAACTAGATAGACCCCCTCCCTCCCCTCAGTCTTAGTCTTTGGTATACAGAGATTCAGAATTAGATCTGTAAGTCCATGAACAGACTTCAAAGCTCTTCAAATCCTTGCTGGCCCACCAGGGATTAAAGATAACAAGATCCTGCTTTTGAATGGTAATTTACTGCCCTTGCAGCTCACTACAGATTTAAGGAAAAAAAGGGAACTCTGGAGAGATGTAACTAAGATTAAGCCCCTTCCCAGAAGCTACCACCTCACTCCCGTCCTGAAAAATAAATATCTACTAGACTGGGAGTCGTATCATTTTCCAGGCTGGTGTGTGTCAGCTTGGAAGGAATAACGACAAGAAAAGCGTCTTTTCTTGGTGACTGCTAAACATCTGTGATAGGTTCCTTATAGTAATAGTAATAGTAGTAAAGTTGGAAGTGACCTTGGAGGTTATCTAGTCCAACCCCCTGCTCAGGCAGGAAACCCTACACCATTTCGGACAAATGGCTGTCCAGTCTCTTCTTAAAAACTTCCAGTGTTATCATTCAAATAAAAATAGAGAAGGAAAAAGAGGCACAAAACAGCTATCTAATCATTTCAGCCATATCTAATGGGATGGCCAAGAGAATGAGGATCATCTACTATAACATAATAACAGAGTTGGAGGTCTTCTATACCATTTCAGACAAATGGTTGTCCAATCTCTTCTTAAAAACCACCAGTGTTGGAGCAGGCACAACTTCTGGAGGCAGGTTGTTCCTCTGATGAATTGCTCTAACTGTCAGGAAATTTCTCCTTAGTTCTAGGTCAGTGATGGTGAACCTATGGCAGGGGTGCCAGAGGCGGCACTCAGAGCCCTCTCTGTGGGCATGCGCGCCCTCACCCCAGTCCTAGGCCTTCAGTTGGGTTTTATAAAACCTTTTCGCTTTAGGCCTTCACTGCCGTGTGCAAAAAAAAAAAAAAAAAAAAAGGTTCACTCAATCAGTCAATTTCAACTTCTCGGGGGGAAAAAAAATCTTGCAAAGTTGGAATTGATTGATTGAACTTTTTAGTCCCACCCAGTGTGCCGTTACCACCGCAGCCATGCACAGCCAATGGGCCACGCCCACCCGGCACCCGACGATGCATAAGTGGGTTTTGGGTTGCAGTTTGGGCACTCGGTCTCTAAAAGGTTCGCCATCGCTGATCTAAGTTGCTTCGCTCTTTGATTAGTTTCCATCCATTGCTTCTTGTCCTGCCTTCTGGTGTTTTAGAATAGTTTGACCCTGTCTTCTTTGTGATCCTGTCTTCTCTTAGATATTGGAATGCTGCTATAATTTTGATTGGTTGGCTTTTCACCATCTGATAAAAATTAATTCCACCTGTCAATTTGCACATTAGGTGAGGAGGCATTTTCTTCACCTACATTTAGCTGGGTCATTTTACATAATGTACAGCAAGTGTTACTCACCTGATCAGGCAGACTCCATCCAATTCTAGGCTAACATACTGTAAATAACTAATGGTTCTGTTCCATGACTGAGACTTTTTAAAGACTAAGCTAATTAGTATTTGATGGATTGGATCTCCAGGTCCACCTAAATGCATGGAGTTCTATTCCTGGAAACCTATCAATTGAATGAACCATGAGGCCTTACTGGTGGCTGCAACGAGCCACTTAATATTAAAACTCCTTCAGGTGAGCAGTTTTATTAAGCATTAAATTAATTCTGACTGCTCGGGACTCACAGCCTGCTCCTGGTCACTGCCTTTTGTAAATGACTGAGGGGTACATGGTAGCATGCCCACCCTCTTGTGCTGCCAAGTTGAAAGCAGGACTTGATAACTCCACGATTAAAAATGATTGAACCAAACTGGTCATATAGCTGTGAAGTGAATTTGATGTGTAATGGGTGCTAACCACCGCCTTTCAGGGCTACATGTCCATACAAGAGCAAAAATAAAAAATAAAAAAGGAAAAAAAAATCATATTGATGTGAAATTGGCATGAGATGGACTTTTGTGTGGTTGATCTGAAGAGTCTCTAGAGCAGTGGTTCTCAACCTTTTTAATGCCGCGACCCCCAACCGGTCGTAAGTTGAGGACTACTCAACCGGTCGTAAGTCAAGGACTACTCAACTGGTGCAGCACTGTTTGCAGAATGGGGCTTTTGGCGGGCTCAGCAGGGCAGAGACAGCCTGGACAATTCCTACTGGCTTTTGAAAGCCAATAGAATTAGACTCTATTCAAGAGAGTCTATTCTATTGGCTTTCAAAAGCCAATAGAATAAAAGGGAGTAGCACAGCTAAGGAAAAGGGGGGAAAAAATGGCGGACTGCTTTGTTTGGCGACCCCCGTGAAATGGTTGTTCAACCCCAAATGGGGTCCTGACCCACAGGTTGAGAACCACTGCTCTAGATCACTTAAGCAAGCCCTTCCTTCCATCCTTCGATATGTAGTATTAAGAAATCCAGAAAGGATATTATATATTTTTTTTCCAGTTACTTGGTAAAACAGCAGGATTGAAACATCATATTCTTACACTAGAGATGATAGTTTTCTTGTCTATCTCATCCACCTTCCCCTAGCTTCTTGTTCTCTAAACCTAGGTATTTAATTTCCCTGGACAATATCATACTAACAGAAGATAGCAGACATAGCTCACGGATGAAGTGTGGAGGACTCGGTGCTCTCTGAGTTTAGTTGTTTGCTTGTAGACATTTGCATGAAGCACTGAAGATGTTACCACATCTGGTAGTTGCAAGCCTCTAGAAAGCGTCAAGGACTCTACAATATCACTACTATTTCACAGATGGACAAATTGTTGGATGTTTGGCACTGATACGCATTATAATAGGATGAAAATAAATATGGGAAACTCTGTTATGTACAATAACATGATACTCATTGTACGGCTGCCCATTTTGCTGGTTATTTTTATTTTCATCGTTAATTCAACAGAAAGACATAGGGCCCAGGAATGGATCAAAGACAGCACCCATGCAAGATTAATTCCAGATTAAAAATCGTATCTTGCATGCGATAATGTCAGCGGGCCTGGGGTAAAACTGGGCATTGGATGAGCTGGTGGCATAATGGCTAAAGAAAGATGTGTCCATTTGGATCCATACTGACTTTTATTGTTAGCAAAAAATGCTGCATAAGGCACAAGTAAAGTTGTTAACCTCTTTGCTAAAAACTGTGTCATAGGAAGAATGCAGCTGTTTTAAAAAAAAGCTTCAATATGAACAGAAAAGGGGGAAATGAGAGAAAAGAAAAAAAGGAAAAAAATAAAAAATGTACACAGAAAGTCACTCAGACATTTTTTTAAAGTACACCTTCCCTCTTTCCCTCATACTAATAGACAGCTAGTTTTTCAATAAACGCATTATTGATCCAAGATTTTAATCCTGATGACATGTTCTCTTACAATATCAAAGAGTAATCTTTTTTGCTGCACTGTGTTCAGTAAATCTGTAGTCTTTCATATCATAAATTCCAAATCTCCAGTATATAACTCAAAAGCATGTTCACAGCTTTCAACAGCATTGGTTTTTTGTAATACTACATGAATACATTTATG